AATGCGATTCATCTGCGATTATGAACGCGATATTGCCTAATTGTCAGTGAAGTACGGCTCTGTGTAGTAAATGCCGCTCCATCTGAAAGCAGGTAATGGAGATTTACTACTAATCACGGAACCGGCTTTACTGACGAGATGCGCATGACAATCGCATGCGATTAATTGCACAGCCCTAGTTGATGGATGAATTGATTTAGACATTTAGGTTGAGAATCAACCAGCATAGTTCCTCAAATCTTTTTAGTCTGTTTGCTTTGACGAAAACTGGTGAAGGTAGACAATCTAAAGTTGTAATCAACTAACAGCAAATTACCTGAAGAAACTTAATGAATCCATAAATCATCACAAAGTTTTTTGTTCTCTTGCTACTGGGTTTAAATTGTTGCAGATTTGTATTTATGTCCTTCTGGTAAAGTTCAGTCACAGTCTTTGTAACTCTGTAGCTGTTCATAGAAGCAACTATATTGCACAGTTGTCTATTTTGTGCGCAGTCATAATGTTTTTTTGTTTTTTGTTTTTCTAAGTGAACTGAAATGTCCTCACAAGACTGCATGTGTCTAAGACTTTCTTTAAATTTTCTTTCAGCTGAGCATCGAGAAAGCCCAGGCCATTGCTGAACAGGTAGAGCTGAAGGCTAAGGTTGTTCAGTCAGAAGTAAAAACCATCACTCTTCGTCATAAGAAAGCTCTGGAGGAACGCGAGTGTGAGCTGCTCTGGAAGGTGAATGAAAGAACAAACATTAATTCATGGAGTAACAACTACCTTTTAAAAGTCTGTCTGCATATTTTAGTATGAAAAAATAGTCACTTTTTTGTAACATCAGGAACTCTTTTTGTTTCCTGCACAGGTGGAGAAGATTCGCCAGGTGAAGGCAAAATCACTTTACCTGCAGGTTGAGAAACTACACCAGAATCTCACCAAGCTGGATAGTACTATCTCCACAGTGACGCAGGTTCTAGAAGAGGGCCGTAGTATAGATGTCCTGCTAGCACGAGAGCACATGCTAAATCAGCTACAGGAGCTTAAATCCCTCCGCTGCATCCTACAGCCCCAAGAAGACGATCGCATCATGTTCACCCCTCCAGACCAGGCTCTTCTGATTGCCATCAAGTCCATGGGCCTCATCAGCAGCGGAGCCTTCGCCACAGCTTCCAAAGCTCATGGTGAAGGCCTCAAGAGAGCGCTGCAAGGAAAGCTAGCTTCCTTTACCGTCGTAGGGTATGATCATGACGGTGAGCCTCGCTTGTCCGGTGGTGACAGCGCCTCAGTTGTGCTTATGAGTCCGGATGGTAATCTGTCCAGTGCAGATGTTTCCGACCACCAAGATGGAACGTACACAGTCGGCTATCTGCCCAAGAGCGAGGGTGAGCATTTGCTCTCGGTGCTTATATGCAATCAGCACATTGAGGGAAGTCCTTTCAAAGTGATGGTCAAATCCGGTCGCAGTTACGGTGGTGTAGGCCTGCCCATTGCATCTTTCGGAGGAGAGGGCGATGGGGACGGGCAGCTGTGTCGGCCTTGGGGCATCTGCGTGGATAAGGAGGGCTATGTGGTGGTCGCTGACCGAAGCAACAACCGTGTGCAGATCTTCAAGCCTTGTGGCACGTTCCACCACAAGTTTGGCACTTTGGGCTCACGACCGGGCCAGTTTGACCGCCCTGCTGGGGTCGCCTGTGACAGCCAGAGGAGAATCATTGTGGCAGATAAGGACAATCACCGCATCCAGATCTTCACCTTTGAGGGTCAGTTTCTTCTCAAGTTTGGTGAGAAGGGAACCAAAAATGGACAGTTCAACTATCCATGGGATGTGGCCGTCAACTCTGAAGGCAAGATCCTGGTTTCAGATACACGCAACCACCGCGTGCAACTCTTTGGACCTGATGGGACTTTCCTCAACAAATACGGATTCGAAGGTGCCCTCTGGAAACATTTTGATTCGCCTCGCGGTGTGGCCTTCAATCAGGAAGGCCACCTCGTTGTGACCGACTTCAACAATCATCGGCTGCTTGTCATCAGGCCTGACTGCCAGTCAGCACGCTTCCTCGGGTCTGAGGGAACCGGAAATGGCCAGTTCTTGCGGCCGCAAGGCGTAGCTGTGGACCAGGAGGATCGTATTATCGTGGCCGACTCCCGCAACCATCGCATTCAGGTGTTCGAACCCAACGGCAACTTTTTATGCAAGTTTGGGACACACGGTAACGGCTTTGGGCAAATGGATCGCCCCTCGGGTATAGCGGTTACCCCAGATGGAATGATCGTGGCTGTGGACTTTGGAAACAACCGAATCCTCATGTTCTGACCTTTTAAGGTTTGAAATACAAAACCGTAGCCATGGACAAATGGAAAAGGAGATTTTGCACATCTATCAGGAGCAAATGCAGTTTGATTTAGCGAGGTGACAAGAGTTGTAGGGACTTTATAGTTTTGTACGATTCTCAGTGATCGTGTAACTCCAAATGCTTGCCGTTACAGCACAAAGTTTTGGCTGCTGCAAGCTAAGAGTGTTTTGCTCTTGGTATGTGTCTTCAAATCTTTTTTTTTCTTTTTTTTTCTCAGGGAATTTCTTGCATTCTTGAAATATTTTCTCTCTGCATTACACCTACCTCATCTAGCTTATGTATGAATGTACTCACGTTTGTGCAGAGACCTAGTCCGTGAAGTTTTATAAAGAAACGTCTACCTCAGTGTTTTTTTTTTCTTTTCGTAAAATGTGAGGACAAAAAAAAACTAAACAAAATGAAGCAATGTTTGGGTATTTGCACAGTTCGCACAATTTGTTCCTGATTGTTACTGTGCACAGAACGCAAATTATATCCCTGAATGTTTCTCGTGACGATTGATAAAAACGAAGCTGCATGTTTTGGCAGAAACATTAGGATAACGTTTTGATATATCTACTGCTATGTTTTCTTTTTTGAATTTTGATGATTTTTGAAATCAGACTTCATCTTTATCTCGTACCTCATCTAAACTTTATACCTCATTTACCGTATTATACCTCTGGGTCCATGAGCCTCATTACATTTACCTCACTTTATGGTCTTTGAAAATTATGCAAACAGTTACCAAAAATGAATGCTGTATAACTGATGAAAGAGACTGATAAATTAGACAAATTATCTGAATTTAGTAATTTAATAAGACCCTCATGATGTAATCAAGAGTTTTGCTCTGACTATGAGAAATGCAACTGCAGAAGAACATATACATGTGATTATTTTAAATGATACAAGAGTGAATTGGAGGCTGTTCTTTAAAGAAGATCTTCAGATCTGTTTTATTTTTGGGGAGGGAAAAATTTAAAGAATGTAGACACTAAATGGAATATCTAAGTGTAAAAATGACCTAGCCCTTATTTTTGTGTTTCTATAGTTTTGTTTTCTTTTTCATATGCAGAATTTAGGCAAGGTAAAGTTGATCGACACAACTGGCAAACAAGGATATAATCCAGTTCCTCTCAGACTAAAATGTTTTTTATTATATATCTAAACCAGCTGCATTAGATCACAAGTTGCTTTTTGTTGTTCTATTGATTACAGCATGGCCTACAGTGCTTCCCGTGCCCGTTTAAGAAAGATCCCCAGGGAGACTATTCACTCCATCAGTGTAACATCATTTGAAAACATTTAGAATCAATTGAGCCCAGTTTGAAATTGGATAGTTTGTGCCTGACTTGTGGGTAACCACTTTAAAGTCTTGTTTGCTTCTGTGTTCAATTGATTAAAAGAAAAAAAGAGGAAGCGAAGAATTTGGGCAAAATAAAAAAATAATATATAAATATAAAGCACTGGTATACAGCAGAACAAAAGCACATGGCTCTCCCATTATAGTCTGCCTGAACTTCTCATTTAAGTTTGTTTATGACCGACAGGAAAGTGTATCTCACCAATGTTGTGTCGTAACTCAATATGAGAATCATTAATCACAAAAATACAAGTTTTTCCTTTCTGGTATTAAGTGGCCCATGAGAATTTGGATGTTCCTGTTCTTGCAAGCACCATGTGTGTGTTTTTGGATATTTTGAAGTGGGTGAGCTTTATACAAACTTCTTTCTGAATGTGTGCGGTACCGCCTTGTTCGTACATATGTGTGGCAGGCCCACTTAAAGAACCAGTATTGTAATATTAACCTTTGGGGTTAATTTGCATGACTGTTTCTGTTTTACACTTTAGGTAACATTTAAAATCTGAAAATCGTGTGAGAGCTGGACGACCTATTGGAAAGTGGTCATGATGATTTGCCCCGCCGTTTTCTTGTAGGCTGCAGTTATCTTGTCCTATCATGAGTATCAACGTGCTTGCATGTAGTTACCTGTGCCTTTTGTGATGTTAGATAAATGGGAATTGAATGTCTTTGCCAATGGGTGACTATAGGAAATAGGCATGTGCCAAAACTGCTTCTGAAAGTCACGGATGCGTTGAGCGTTTGCTTTTCATTTATAAAGCGGATCTTTCTCAGTCTTTTTTCTTTATGTATATTACCTCATTATAAACAAAATATTGACTTCAAATTGTGGATCAGCCGGCATATTTATGTTGGAGATATGTTAATTATGATAATGTTGCGTTTTACGCATGGTAAGAGTGGAGAGTAGGCAGTTAGATTTCTGAAAATTGATAGACATCTGCACATTAGATGATAATAGACAAATAAAAGGACCAGCATGGGTGACGGAAGCCCGTTTGATGAGCTTATGCAATAAAGAATGAAAGATTTGCTGCTTCCACCAACACAGATCATCCCTGTCATACAGTAATTAATATCATATTTGATCTAATGAATATTTAGCTGCAAAGTTTTCTCCCTGAATCCCTGCTCTCTTTGAGAGGAAACTTTAAATGTATATTTTTGCATGCTGTTAAGGTCCTTGTAGATGGGTGGATGTAAAATATGGATGTTGGAAAACAAGGGGAGGGAGGAAGAAAAAAAAATTTATAATGTACCAAAAAAAAGGAGCATATATCATGTGTTAGCTTGTGGTGAGTGGTTGACTATATGATTGTATTATTTCTAGATAGCTTTACAGAGTAAGGTACCTCGTTGAGCTCCATTCAGATGCCTTACCACAGCTCCTTAGCTTTTGGAATCTAATCAGAACTGGAAAACTGCCAAAGACCTCATTCAAATGAAACCTCAGTGTGTGGATGCGTTTATAAATCGATTTTTCACGTTTGCCCAAAGATTTATACATTTGGCATCGATCATTCTTGTATTTCGACAAGCTTTCGATGTCTTGACATAAAAGCGAAACGGTCCTAGAACACGTCCCTGGACGTTGGCTTTTGTGTGTAACACGAGTTTTTGAGCAGGTGCCCTACAGGACCAAAGATGGAGAAATGTTTGAATCCAGCTCCCACAGTTCCCAATGAAAACGGATCTCTAACTGTGTGGTGGTAGAGTTTTATTTGACAAAGGAGTCAGGCAGCCATTTTGTGGAATGTGACGACCCAAGCGAGATCGGTACAGAAAAAGCCACTATGTAAAACCCCTTTAGCAGTGATCTGGACACTATTAAAAGTGTAAGTTCTACTTTGAGAGACAATTCACTTTTTAGGACTGATACTATATTTCATCTAGATTCTATCTGGCTCATTGGACATGAAAGTCAAACTCAGTCAGTGTCTTTGAATTTCAGATCAATGCGAATTTTGCTGTCTGTCTTTCTTTCTTGTTCCCTTTTTTTTTTTTTGGACCTCCGGTCTCTAATTGTACGGGTTTTGTCACCATTTCTGGTGTATTCCAGCTTATGACTTCTTCCTTACTGGGGAAAAACAGAAAATGTAAGTTCAGAATTGTGTGGTCATAGACCCTTTTATGATTGTATTATCTTATGGAAAAAAAAAAAAAGAGATGTGTACACACATTAAAACAACTCAGGTAGCTTTGTAGAGATTTGAGATTTGATTAAAATTCAATATTTGTTTCATACAGTTTGATAGTGAATCCTTTGTTAGTACCCCATGAGCTTTTGTGTGTTGTTTTGTTGGTAAAAATGCTGTTATTGAATTCCATGGGATCCTTTTCAACCATGTCACAGTTAATAGTCAGTGAGGGGGTGAACAATTCATAACCTTTACACCAGCATGTCTCAGTTTTGCATTCTTCACAAAGTCCGAACTTGATTTTATTAATTTAAACCTCACGTAACTAAAGGTATCGTTTTGCATATATTATGATAAATCTGTTTGCGTCCAAAGGCTGCTACAAAATTCATTGCCTTTTGATCAAAAACGCCTTAAAGCTTAAAAAATAGGTTTTCAACAACAGTCAAGTCTCAAAATTTGAATTATAGTGATAATAGACATTTAGACTCCATGTCCCAGCACTGAAATTTGATATTTACATCAATACTTTCCAAACCCCTGAAGTCGCAGTGCTTCTATAAGGCTTGGCTGTGGGACAGGCTAAGCAAAGAGGGGTAAAGAGATTCAAAATTCTGAGCTGGAATCAGTTTTGCCTTTTAAAATACAATGATTAGGGTAGAATCTAAGTAGCAAATGCTGATTCCAGGTCAGTTATCCTCTCAGGTTTGATGATTTTGGTTTAGGAACCCTCTAAGAGGCCCACTAGTCTCTCCATCATAACCCGCACCATCCCACTATCTATCACCCCCTCAACCAAAGCAACAGAACAGTCATTTATTACTTTCTGAATAAGGCTGATGAGACTATATGAAATATGTAGTGGTCTGCAGGCTTGTTCAGTTGTCTTTGTGGACTTTAAACATTTCCTATGCATTTTGTTTTTTTAAATAAATGTTTGGTTGTTTACGATTTAAATAAAGTTGTACCTCTTTGGATCCTGTATTTGTGGTGGGTGTTTTTACTTTATTAAAGTATAAGTAACAACTAAAAACTATTCTAACGTCCCCCTTCAGGTCGGGGTTCACATCGTTTTGCTGTAAATCTACTGATTTTTGTAAAGTAATTTTATGAATAACATTGTTAGTATGTTTCAAGAGGAACACTTACGTTTACTCGATTATCCATATATCCATATTGTATTATATGCATTTTTATGCAAGTAGTCTGCTACACTGTTGTAAAGATCTCACTGATTTACATTACAAACAATCAGAATTTTATCTTACGTTTTGGTCATACAAATAATAGCAACTGCACCAAATTGCAGATTATTATTATTAAAGTATTATATACTTTAGTTGTACAAAAACTGTTATGCTGTGCAAACAAATTTACCATTTACTGGTCTTGTTTACCTATAGAGTAATGAATCGGAAGTCTTGCACATTCACAGGAAACAGCTTGCTTGTGTGCTGAAAAGTAGATGGGTAGTGTTTGCGAACATTTTGACGCTGCTGGGGGTCATGTTTAGAGTATGAATATATGATATACATTTTCCTCTCAAAATAGCCGGAATTTCCATCGCTGGAAATCAAAAATAGCCGGAATTAGTACTTCCATCGCTGAATCTTTTGAGGTCTTGACACAAAGGGCCTCATTTATAAAGTGTGCGTATGCATATATTTGATCTTAGTGTGCGCACGCTTAAAGGGATAGTTCACCCAAAAATGAAAATTCTGTCAATTACTTAACGTCATGTCATTCCAAACCTGTAAGATCTTCGGAACACAAATTAAGATATTTTCAATGCGTTCCGAGAGCTCTCTGAGCCTCCCATAGACAGCAAGGATCCTTTCACGATCAAGGCTCAGAAACGTAGCAAGGACATCGTTAAAAGAATCCATGTGACATCAGTAGTTCAACCGTAATGTTATAAAGCTACGAGAATACTTTTTGTGTGCAAAGAAAACAAAAATAACGACTTTATTCAACAATTCGTCGTCTCCGCGTCACCCTAGCGCCATTTTGGAGAGTATCACATACGTAAACAACGTATGTACACGGATACTTGGTTTACATTCTGATCAAAGCGTAAACAACGTATCTCCCTACGGTGCTGCTGACACAGAACAGCATACGTTGTTTATGTATGTGATACTCTCCAAAATTGTGCTATAGGGTGACGTGAAGGAGATGAATTGTTGAATAAAGTCGTTATTTTTGTTTTCTTTGCACACAAATAGTATTGTAGCTTTATAACATTACGGTTGAACCACTGATGTCACATGGATTATTTTAACAATCTCCTTGCTACGTTTCTGAGCCTTGATCATGTTAGGATCCTTGCTGTCTATGGGAGGCTCAGAGAGCTCTCGGAATGCATCAAAAATATCTTAATTTGTGTTCCGAAGATGAACGAAGGTCTTGCGGGTTTAGGGTGAGTAATTAATGACAGATTTGTCTTTTTTGGGTGAACTATCCCTTTAAATCCACGGCTACGCTCATATTTGTAAAAACTGCCTTTAACGTGAAAAAGTGCTTAGCGTCACGTCAGGGTCTGAGCAGAGTACGTACGTTTTCTTGTCTGAGTACTGCAAGGTTTTTGGAATT